GTTTCATTTTATTTTTCTCATCTATATAAATATATATATGTGTGTGTGTGTGTGCGTGTGTGTATGTGCGTATGTGTGTTTTACTCATTTCACTACAAGCAAGGCAATAAAGCCACTCAGACTCAAGAGTTTTTTTGAGTTAAAGAATATGAGTAAAAAAGGAGAAAGAACAAGAATTAAGAAGCCAGAAAATAGCGATTCATTGCATATATATATATATATATATATATATATATATATATATATATATATATATATATATATATCAGTAAAACCTGCAGTAAAATCTAAATTTATCACTGACCAAATTATATGAAATGAAGCGAAGAACAAAAATATACCCCCAGACATTAATATTCATTGTTCGCGGAAGAAAACTTCACATAAGGACGAACATCAATGTAAACCTTTAACATTCGTCCTTCTGTGTAGTTTCTTCGTGAACAAACCAATCATTCGCTCTGTCTACAGTGTCAATTATGCAATAGACATTAGCAACTGCAGCCAGAGAATGCCTGAAAGCGGTGGAGTGGGTCAACAAGATGCAAATCACCGCAAAACACCCACAAAGAAAAAATAACTGCAGAGACATGATAACCTTAACATCTAGAAAACAAAAACAAAAAACAAACTATGATTGATGACTGGACTTTTAACTCAGACACCAAGATACCAACATCCTTCATCACGCGGTTCATGAAATCAAGGAGGCTGGCAAGGTCCAAAGAAGCGATCAGGTACCTCAAGAAGTATGGGTCGACTGGGAAAATATTCCCATAGGAGAAAATTTTCACAGCGGTTGGCATATCGAAAGCGTTAGTATATCACTCCCTCCCGGTGTCAAAAGTCAAAGGCACCAGCCAAGATTATGGTCTTAAGGCTCATGGGAAAAGGTGCTACCATTCTTATACAAGCTTGGAGAAATGATGTATATGGAAAATTACAAGATTCCAATATACCGTGTTTTGTGATGGTCCAAGAAGAATAATTATCTAGAGCAATGTCTGCGCAGGAATATTTTTAAGTGGAGAAAGACTCAATACGAACATACATGCATGCATATAAAGGCAGGATAATTTTGGAGCCGTGGTATTGCACTTAATTGGAAAGTTGCGGTTGAAAATAATAAATAATGACCTCAAAATATGTTTTTCCAAATCGTTATCATTTTTGTTTTTGTGGAAACGAGTTTAAAGATTAAGTTTATCTTCAAAAACCTAGCGTTGGAATTTCATTCCGGTGATCAGTGAAAGCCTTATAGCACAGCCTTATAAAATTTATAATTTACTGAAGTTTTACAATTTTTATATGGACAAGATGCATAGCAGAAACATATTATCACTAAATCATTTTGTCATCAAATAAGACCTTCATGTACTTCAAAGGGAAATTATACTGAACAATTTAGCTATATTATGATGTAATATGTTATACAGTACAGTAGTTTTAGTGTGATTTTCAAAAAACAATGCAAATTAAAACATTTTGTCTTATAATGTCTGCCTAGCATTATAATGGTGTTATATACACTTTTATCTATTTTTGGTTTTCATTAATTATGATCTAATAAATTTTATTCATTGAGTAGACTTTTTTTGCAATCTTTTACAATATTTTTACGCAGTTTTTACTTATCGAATACAGTAAAAAAACCCAGAAGAAACGTATTTTGCTTGTGGTGATTCGCAAGTAGAATTTGTGGTTTGAATGCATATCTCATTCAATGTATCTAATACAAAAGATATTAAGTTTATTTGGATTTATTCTTGAAGTAATAAAGTCAGTTTATCAGCAAAAACCTGCGGAAATTATCTGTTCCTGTACAGTTTTAGATTACTTTAAAACTAAATGCTCAAAAATTGATAATGGAAATGAGCCTCATTTTGGCTCTTAGTGTTTAGTACATCCAACACACCGAGGGTAATGTTGATTTTCTAAACAAAGTAAAAAAAAAAAAAACCAACGTGTATATATATATATATGTATATATATACGGGTGACTAGAGAAATTGACCTGATGAACCAGGAGCAATATATTTTCTGGGGAAATAAATTATAGTCATGGAACGTAAAAATTTGTCTCTTTTTAAATTTAATTAATTAATATTCGCTCTGTTGTTACATTGAGCTCTCTAGATTACATCCACTTTAGAATTATCCATACGGATTATCAAAACATTCATTACCTTACTGTGATATATATCAAACCATTCATTACCTTACTGTGATATATATATATATATATATATATATATGCGCGCGCGCACACGCGTGTGTGTATATAGATATAGAAAAAAGAAGAGACTATATCTTGTCTTTCTTTTTCTTTCATTTTTTTTAACAATATCTTGTGCCTTTTTTTCTTTTTTCTTTTAAGAAGAGACTATATCTTCTTTCTTTCTTTCTTTCTTTTCTTTTCTTTTTTCGCGGGAAAAGAGGTTGTTTGCAAGCAAATATTAAATATTGTAATAATCCTTATTTACTACTGCCTGATGAGATGTGATGATATGCATCGAAACATGAATACATTTTGTAGCGGTTTTACATGTTCGAATGTAATATCCTATAATAAAACATACATACACACACACATATATATGCATATATATATATGTATATATATTCATATATATATATATATATATATATATATATATATACATACACACACACACTCTCTCTCTCTCTCTCACACACACACACACACACACACACACACACATATATATATATATATATATATATATCTGTTAATAAATATACATATACGTACTTTTCAGTGCGACTCAAGTTTCATTGGTTACCCAATTGGTTAACCAAAGAAATTAGAGTCGCACATCAAACGTAGGTATATGTGTATTTATTAATATATATTTCTTTACTCTGTCTAATCACATTGAGCACTATTATGTCTATACCTCTTGGCTAAATTTGGTAATTACTTATTTGCCTACCAGAGTATGCACACCAGCACACGCGTATAAGGTCGTTTATATATATATATATATATATATATATATATATATATATATATGTGTGTGTGCCCAAGACACTACACAGAGCCAGGAACGTGTAGATATTTTTGTAAAGATGACAGATCCCACACCAGTGGGAACACACTAGACAGGGAGCGATTTGGAGGGGGGCTAATAGCAAGATCTCCCACCCTGACAACAATGTCATTAATGCTGTCATCAAGGATAAATGCACCAAGATGTCCAATAATTTCGGATTACGTTAAGCCTCTCATCGAAATAATGCAAGCCACGCGAATACATTATTGCATTTGATATTATCTTGCTGTACTATTAATATCATTTAACATTAATTCACTTATTTTACATATTAAGCGAGTTTTCAAAACTTCAGTAGAATATATCATGAAACAAAACATGCTTGTTATATATATAACAACAGAAACCCATATATATATATATATATATATATATATATATATATATATATATATATATATATATATATATATATATATATATATATTCATATTTATATTTATACGTTCTTTTAAAGATACGTTCTTTTTTAAAGATACAAGTATTTGAGTAATTGCTCTGTTTATAATAAATAGTATTAACTATATTTACCGGCGTGAATGCCCGGGAAAGAATGTCTGTCGCTAAATCGGTAAAAGCATGTCCGGATATGTGACGGTTCCGTGTAGGATATAGGTTCGATTCCTATCGGAAGACGCATATTTTATATGAAAATTTTTCGGACATTCAGGTCGGCAAATGTCGTGAATACTGTTTATTATAAACAGATCATTTACTTAAATATATATATCTATAAAAAAGAAGGTATAAACATAAAAAATGTCTTAAAATAATTGTCCATTTCATAATATATATATATATATATATATATATATATATATTCAGTAAATCAAGAAAATTCAAGTGACGTATCTGATAGACCGACAGAAGAGTTTTGCATCGAATGGCCGATCAGGACTAGATGTTCGATGGATCGCTTGGACACTTATAGATTTATTGAACAGTATACTCTAAGTTAGCTATTGAGCAAATTTGGGAAAAATTTTGGCTAACTTTAAAAAGACATTAATTTATCGTAATTTTCGCGTATTCTGTATTTTCAGTATATATATATATATATATATATATATATATATATATATATATATATATATATATATATATATATATATATATATATATATATATATATATGTAGAGAGAGAGACTGATGGATAGGTAGAGATAGGCAGATAATATATATATATATATAAATATATATATATATATATATATATATATATATATGAGATTCTGAAGATCTATTTACGTGAAGCCAAAGTAGGTAGTTTCTCGCTCATTAGGTTTTTTTTAATGCTCTACTCTGCTTAGTATATTGAGCACTTTATGTTTTTTCTTATTTTTCTCGTTTGGTATTTTTTTTTCTCTTTTGACTTAGAATTACGCAGTTAGGCGATTTTTTCGACCTACACGAATGTTTCTAGTTTTTTTCTTTTCAGTTTTTCCCCCAGATATCAGTTTGTTTAAATAAATTTTTATTTGAAAATTGTACTATCTGTTTTTTTTTTATACCAGTAGAGTACAGGCATTAAAATAAATATAATATAATATATATATATATATATATATATATATATATATATATATATATATATATATATATATATATATATATATATATATTGTATCAAAGAATTTAGATATAGCTTTGAAAATAACGGAACCTGTTCTTTGAAATGGAATTTTTCGCCCATTACTTCGTCACAAAGATTAATTGAAACGACAATAATCAAAACGGCAAAATTGAAAAACGTAGACGCAGGGTATATGTATATATATATATATGTGTGTATATATATATATATATATATATATATATATATATATATATTTCCTCCCTATTTTTCATTTCTTTACAAGATGTAACTAAAGATATGTGCTTTTGTGTTTGTTTCTGTGTAAAACAGTAAATTCGATGAAATACAGATAAGCAAAACACGTCTGTCTAAATCTTTCTCTCTCTCTATCTCTCGCTCTCTCTCTCTATCTCTCGCTCTCTCTCTCTATCTCTCACTCTCTCTCTCTATCTCTCTCTCTCTATCTCTATCTTTCTCTGTGTGTGTGTGTGTCTCTCTCTCTATAGTTATATATATGTACGTTTGTATGGAAGTATATACTTTACTACAAAAAACTGAAAGACGAGTTTGAATCATCTATCCCTCTATCTCTCTCTCTATCTATCTATCTCTCTCTCTATCTATCTATCTATCTATCTATCTATATATATATCTATATATATATATATATATATATATATATATATATATTTATATATATCTGAAGGGATAGTGAAAAATTCTCTTCTCGACCCACTACTCAAAATTTAAAGAATAGACTAAATATTTGATTTTTAAAACTTTTCTTGGTCGACTTCTCATATATATATATATATATATATATATATATATATATATATATATATATATATATATATATAAATATATATCGATATTTAAAAAACCCTCTTATATTGTTACCTAAAAATTTTGCTGTTCCCGACATGTCAAGTAAATAAAAATCATAGATACTCTACAAATTATATCTTGGTCATGATTTTCTCTGTCTTTCTTTGTCTCTCTCTGTCTCTCTGTCTCTTCCTTTCTTTCTCTCTCTCTCTCTCTTTATATATATATATATATATATATATATATATATATATACACAGAATGAGAGCGAGAAAGAGAGTGAGAGCTTAAAATCTTTCTTGTATTCTTCATATCAGCTTGGGACCTTTCTTTAGATTCTTCATATATATATATATACATACATATATATACATACATATATATATATATATATATATATATACTTAAAATCTTTCCTTATATTCTTCATATATAGAGTGTTTCAAATTTTCCGTTTCTCCATATTTTCATTCTTTTCCTGTCTACTTTTGCTTATTATTCCTATAGAAATATATTCCCCGATTTTTTTTTGTTATTTTTTATTTTTCTTCTTTTCTACGTATCTTCCTTCTTTATTTGTCTTATTCTTTCTTTCTTTCTTTCTCTTCTTTTTTTTTCCTTCCTCGCCCCAGTACCCAAACCAATTTCCTCCATTGTTATGCATAGCAGTGGCCTTATTATGGCGTTGGGCTAACTGCCTACTCCATGAAGGCTAAGCCTCTGTCTTCCTTACCGCACACCCAGATAAGATAAGGAAATTTCCAACTCAAAAGCCAGAATAATCCCAGTTCCCCCACCACCTACCGCACTACCATACTTCACTTCTCCTCACGATACCTGAATGGTAAAACAAATTCCTTCGTTCTATGTCTTCCTTCCCTCCATGCCAGTCTTTTTCTCAGACTACACCTCATTCTTTCGCTGTATGCAGATATATATATATATATATATATATTATATTTATTTATTTTTCACTTCCTTATATCTACCCACATCCTCCTCCTTCATTCTCACGCATATCAATTACCTTGCCAAAATCTCCTGTCCCTACTCTGACTTCTTGACTGAGAAGTGTGGCGTCCCCACTGACTATCAATATTGTCCGTAACGCGGGGAATTGTGGGTAATGCTTTTTAGAAGAATGGACCAATGGAAATTGGCTACGGTGTAGTTTTTTTTTTCCATCGGAAAATTCCGAATAAAAAAGAGAATAAATACAAAAGAAAGGAGGTGAAAGGAATAAAAAAGAAAAGAAGGAAGAAGCAGATGATAGGGAGAGTGAAAAGAAAAGAAGGAAGAAGATGATAGGGAGAGTGAAAAGAAAAGAAGGAAGAAGCAGATGATAGGGAGAGTGAAAAGAAAAGAAGGAAGAAGCAGATGATAGGGAGAGTGAAAAGAAAAGAAGGAAGAAGCAGATGATAGGGAGAGTGAAAAGAAAAGAAGGAAGAAGCAGATGATAGGGAGAGTGAAAAGAAAAGAAGGAAGAAGCAGATGATAGGGAGAGTGAAATGAAAACAGAGAATAAAGGGTTTTAAATAAAATGAAAGAAAGCGAGAGTGTACGAACGAAAAAGAGAGAGGAAAGCAAGAATGAATGAAAGAAATTGTATGTTTGGAGTGTAAAACAGGAAATAGATGAACTAAATAGAGAATGTGGTTGAAGAATAGGAAAAAGAAAGTTACAAAGAAAGAATATCACGAACAAGGACAGATAAAGATAGAGTAGAACAATGAAAAAGAAAGAAAAAGCAAAAATAAATAGCGGTAAGGGGAGAGAATGGGGAGAGGGAGATAATGAGATAAATGAGAGAGAGGGGTGAAGCAGAGAGGGGTATGAAGATGCATGAAAGGAAGGGGGCGAAACAAAGGAGGAATTTGGGAGATGATTTATAATCTTATGGGATTTAGAGTGCACCCCTATAAAGAGATAAAGGATATTGCTGATTGGAGGAAAGGAGAAACACGCGAAAAATAAATAAATAAATAAATAAATAAAAGAAAATAGAAGAAAAGAAAAATCAAAGGAATAATGAAAAACATGAAATTAAAAAAAATGAAGTTTAAAATGTGTCCCTAAAAAGGGATGAGAAGGGAGAGTAGAAAGAAAGAAAGAAAGAAAGAAAGAAAGAAAGAAAGAAAGAAAGGAGAAATGGATGAGGGGAGAATGAATTAAGAAGGAAATTATGGAAACAAGAAAAAAAGAAAGAAAGAAAGAAAGAAAAAGAGAAAGAAAGAAAGAAAGAAAGGAGAAATGGATGAGGGGAGAATGAATTAAGAAGGAAATTATGGAAACAAGAAAGAAAGAAAGAAAGAAAGAAAGAAAGAAAGAAAAACAGAAAGAAAGAAAGAAAAAAGAAAGAAAGGAGAAATGGATGAGGGGAGAATAAATTAAGAAGGAAATTATGGAAATAAGAAAGAAAGAAAAAGAGAAAGAAAGAAAGAAAAATAAAGGAAAGATAATTAGAAAGCAGAGCGGAATAAAAAAAAAATCAGATGAAGAAGAGGCCTGCCAGAAAGAACGGCAAATCAGAGAGGTGCTGAAAAGTTTTCGGCTAGACAAATTTACCAAAATCTAATCAAAATAACCAAACATCAGATAAATTTTTTTGGAATCCCGTTTTTTCAGGCCGAGAACTTTTTCAAACCATATATATATATATATATATATATATATATATATATATATATATATATATATATATATATATATGTGACCTTGTGTGTGTGAGGGCGTAGCAGTAAAATAAAAAGGAGAAGCAAACAAACACAATAACGCCTTATTCAACCTATTCATTCTCACAATCACTCGTCTTCTTTTGTTCGGCGTCATCAACCTCATCTTTATGTGTTGGTTATCTCCCTTGATTTGACATGGCCATTTTGCAAGTAGCAGTCGTCGTGACGAGAGCAATGACGATCATGTCGGCAGTGGTCCTACTCTTGTAAAAACTAGTCACGATCAAAGGCGACCGATACTAAACGAAATCTGAGCATAATGTACAACCCAATAAAATTAAACCGTGCAACATGATCGACGTTACGTTCGCTCACACAGTGTACTCCTTGAAATTAATGCCTTTTATTCACCGTAAAAGCTACCAATTATTGTGACCATAGTAACAAAAATAGGCAAGCACGATGGCTGATAGGAGTAAAATTGGATAATGTGCATGCATGCTGCTTACTGACACTGGAAGCCTAGTGCTTTAATATAAGCATATATATATATATATATATATATATATATATATATATATATATATATATATATATATATGGTGGACTCACCGTCGTATTCGACGTATGAGGATCAACAGCTCAGTTCCTAGGAATCGACAACCCAGACGCCAGCACATATGATTTGATTATCGTGGTGAAGGCTTTGTGCAAAACCAACCACACTTTTTGAAGGGCCGAATACAAAGACCTGGTGCTCTACGTGCCACAAGGTCACCAAACGACCATCCACAAGTTTTGAATTCAGAATTGTCCTTCTAGACAAGTTGACATCCAAGGCTACAGAATCCAGTCTGTCCTGCTATTTAGCCATAGCTATGAGAAGAGGATTCATACCTTTCCCAAGGATATTAACACGTAAGTGAATGTAATGAATTCGACTGGAATTCGAACACTTCTCTCTCGGATATATATATATATATATATATATATATATATATATATATATATATATATGCCCGCACTATGACGCGATAGTTGCTAACGTCGTAATGCGGAACAATGCGATTGTACGATATTAAAACAGTGCGGGTGCTCAGTTATTGTGTTCTTGCGCCAGGCTAAATTGCTGATATTAAAAAGGTTTACACATGATATAAAGAAACTTTTCCACAAGATATATTATGTATTTATAGGCCTTTTGACTAAATTGCAGCACAAAGTGAAGGCTTTTAAAATTGCAATTTTCGGACACGCTTGTGTCCTTTTTCAACGAAGCGAGAAATATACAAAGAAGTAGGATCACACTTCTGGATAATGGGTTAATGTTGTGGTTGTTGATTAGACGGTTCCATGTGAAAACTATATTTTCTGAGTAAAACCAAATGTCGTTTTTGTTCTCAAATTTCATTAACTAGCCTATTAAAATATACATATTATAGGAATCACGGGTAGACGCTGATTCGTTTTAATATATATATATATATATATATATATATATATATATATATATATTATAAATTAATTGATTTAAAATATGTTTTTTTTCGCTACACAGTTCTAACCATGTTTCAAAAATGGAAGCTAAACACCGGATTGTATATATCTTACTGTTCTTTCTTTTATATATATATATATATATATATATATATATATATATATGTTTGTGTGTGTGTGTGTGTGTGAAATGTGTATGTATATAAATATAAATATATATATATATGCAATGTATTATATATATTATTTATATATTATATATATGGTACTTATTGAATATCAGTGATAGAGCTAACATATTTAGTTGGATTGACATATAAGGATAAGTAGTAGGGCAGACTGGGTTCTATAGCCTTGGGTGAAGACCGGTCTAGGAAAAAGACAAAACAATTCTGTATTCAGAATCTGTGGAGGTTTGTTTGGGGTCACATGTTGTGTACCAGTTACCTGTATTTAAAAAAATGTGGTTTGTTCTACGCAAGCCATCACCACTGTAATCAAATCATATGTGTTGCTTGTAATTGGCTGTTCAGTTCAAAGAACTGAATTACTTCATACATCGAAAACAACGTGAGAGTCAAGCATATATATATATATATATATATTTATATATATATATATATATGTGTGTGTGTGTTTCATTAAATAATTATAGAAAAGTGTTGTCTATTTATTTTATGTAAATTCTTTTCATAACGTCTGATAACATTATCATTAAACGAAGAAAGAAAATCACAATATTGATCCATATTTTTTAATCCAATCTAATCTTTTTGGCTTACATAAGCCATTATCAAAGATGACAATTACAGTTCAATATATTAAGCAATACAGGGGCAAGAATGTTTCTGTTAACATGGATGATTTCCAAGCAACGATAAATTCGTGCATATAAGACGCTGGAAGCGAAAATAGTACCGCAGCTCATGACGTCACACATGACCACGCGAGAGTGAATTCGAGAAGTTTTAAGTATGGCAAGCCGTTGGTATAAATCAATGGCTTCTTTACCAATTATAGACATTTAAGAATATTTGTGAAGAATTCATAGTTTATTTTGTTCAGGTTAGGTTTCAACTTTTTAGGTAAATAGCTTCAAGAATTCTTAGTTTTTGTTCATTGTTTTCATGTTTAAGTATAATTGTGTTTTCCACAAGGATTTTCCGGAATTGTGTATGCGGCCAGGCATGTTGTTGTAAATACCTAAAAATGTTTGTTATATATATATATATATATATATATATATATATATATATATATATATAGAATGAAATTGACAAAAATCCGACAATTATTTTAAGAGATTTTTATACGTTCTATTTATAGATATAAATATTTATTTATATTTAAAGTCGATTTTACTGTTTTTGTAGTTAAAAAAACGGAAATCGACCTAGCTAACCGAAATGCTTCTCTGTGGCTAAATCGGTAAAGCACGTCAGGCTATATGACGGTTCCGTATATGATACAGGTTCGATTCCTGTCGGAGGACGCATAATTTCTATGACAGTTTCTCGGACATTTAGCCCGGTAAATGTCCTTAATATTGTTTGTTATAAACAGAGCATTTACTTAAATATCTGTATCTATAAAAAGAACGTATAAACATAAAAAATGTCTTAATACATATATATATATATATATATATATATATATACTTAGTTGCATTGATATGAGTTTTGACCCTCGGTTTCACGCCCTTGCAATCGCCAGACAAATTGAGCGCTATCCAATAAGTACTGCGCAGATATATCGAAATGATATATATATATATATATATATATATATATATATATATATATATATATATATATAATTTATTCAAAATTATAATAGAAACATGTTATGAAATTACTACAAAATAGACATTTTCTTTCAACGCATTTCTACATTCAACACCATCACTTGATAAGACAACAGAAGTGTTGAAACAAAATGTCTATTTTTGTAGTGATTTTATAACATGTGTATATTATAATTTTCGAATAAATTATATTTGCCCTACTCTGTATTTGAGCACTCTTACAAGAATGGCATTTTTGGCATTTATTCCGTATATACCAATCCTATAGTCTGTGTGTGTATATATATATATATATATATATATATATATATATATATATATATATATATATATATATATATATATATTTCAAAAATTTGATATCATTTCGCAATCTAATAACTTTGTTAGATTTCCTTCAAATGATTTCAAATTTTAATAGCATCTTTATGTTTAATGTTTGTTTTATGTTTTTATGTCTTTTATGTTTTGTGTTTTTTCTTATTTGTATTTTTATGTTCTTTAATCTTTAATCTTTTTCTTTCCAGGTATAAAAATGCCGTGTCTCAGGCGGTGCGCCTATTGAACATTTGTGAAATCGTTCACATAATCCACATGCTTTTGAATTTCTCATTCAGATTTGGAAGAATAAATCTTATGAGCTTCAACATAATTACTTTTTAATTTCATTTGCCTTAATCATGTACTTTCTGTGATATTTACACCTCAAAGGATATCAAATCTTTTGAAACACCCTATATATATATATATATATGTGTGTGTGTGCGTGTGTGTATTATAACATTTTTATTATAATAAATGATAGTAAAAATATTTTACATCGCTACACAAAAGGTTTCATGTTTCAATACTATGGTTGTACTTCTAC